CGCCGTTGGAAGAGCGGGTTCAAAGCACTACCAGGAAACCCATCGCAATCGCTCGCCGTATAAACGACTGCTACGGGACGAAAACCTGAGCAGCAACAAAGTTCTATCCCTATTACAAAGCCTGGCACCGGACTAAACTAGAGATAAACAAGCAAGTCTGCCACAAAGTACGGCAAAAATAGAATATGACCAGCGACCACGGCCACTACTCAAACGACACGGGCTGAAGGGGGGAAGGGACGATCTGTTGCTTTCACCATCACTCTCCGCCAATCGACCTTGGCCGCCACCTCCTCTCTTCCACCATGGCCCATTAAGGCCCATTGACTCCCGAGGGGGTCTGGTAACCTCCCGGCACTCCGGAAAAATGCCCGAACATCTCGGAACCTCTTCGGTGTCCAAACATAGCCTTCCAATATATCAATCTTTATGTCTCGACCATTTCGAGAATCCTCGTAATGTCTGTGATCACATCCGGGACTCCGAACAACCTTCTGTACATCATATCACATAAACTCATAATACCAATTGTCATCGAACGTTAAGCATGCGGACCCTACGGGTTCGAGCACTATGTAGATATGACTGAGACACGTCTCCGGTCAATAACCAATAGCGGAACCTGGATGCTCATATTGGTTCCTACATATTATACGAAGATCTTTATCGGTCAAACCGCATAACAACATATGTTGTTCCCTTTGTCATCGGTATGTTACTTGCCCGAGATTCGATCGTTGGTATCTCAATACAATACCTAGTTCAATCTCGTTACCGACAAGTCTCTTTACTTGTTTCGTAATACTTCATCCCGCAACTAACTTATTAGTTACAATGCTTGCAAGGCTTATAGTGACGAGTATTACCGAGAGGGCCCACAAATACCTCTCCAAAATACGGAGTGACAAATCCTAATCTTGATATATGCCAACCCAACAAACACCTTCGGAGGCACCTGTAGAGCTCCTTTATAATCACCCTTTTACGTTGTGACGTTTGGTAGCACACAAAGTGTTCCTCCGGTATTCGGGGGTTGCATAATCTCATAGTCTGAGGAACTCGTATAAGTCATGAAGAAAGCAGTAGCAATGAAACTGTAACGATCATAATGCTAAGCTAACGGATGGGTCATGTCCATCACATTATTCTCCTAATGATGTGATCCCGTTCATCAAATGACAAACACATGTCTATGGTTAGTAAACATAACCATTTTTTATTAACAAGCTAGTCAAGTAGAGGCATACTAGGGACTATATGTTTTGTATATGTATTCACACATGTACTAAGTTTCCGATTAATACAATTCTAGAATGAATAATAAACATTTATCATGAATTAAGGAAATAAATAATAACTTTATTATTGCCTCTAGGGCATATTTCCTTCAGTCTCTCACTTGCACTAGAGTCAATAATCTAGATTACATAGAAATGATTCTAACACTCATGGAGCTTTGGTGCTCATCATGTTTTGCTCGTGGAAGAGGCTTAGTCAATGGATTTGCAACACTCAGATCCGTGTGCATCTTACAAATCTCCATGTCCCCTTCCGACACTTGATGACAAATGGAATTGAAGCGTCTCTTGATGTGCTTGGTTCTCTTGTAAAATATGGATTCCTTTGGCAAGGCAATTGCACCAGTATTGTCACAAAAGATTTTCATTGGACCCGATACACTAGGTATGACACCTAGATCAGATATGAACTCCTTCATCCAAACTCCTTCATTCACTGCTTCCGAAGCAGCAATATACTCCGCTTCACACGTAGATCCCGCCAAGACGCTTTGCTTGGAACTGCACCAACTGACAGCTCCTCCATTCAATAAAAATACGTATCCGGTTTGCGACTTAGAGTCATCCGGTTCAGTGTCAAAGTTTGCATCGACGTAACCATTTCCGACAAGCTCCTTTTCACCTCCATAAACGAGAAACATATCCTTAGTCCTTTTTAGGTATTTCTAGATGTTCTTAACCGCTGTCCAGTGCTCCACTCCGAGATTACTTTGGCACCTCCCTTCTATGCTTATAGCAAGTCATACATCAGGTCTGGTACACAACATTGCATACATGATAGATCCTATGGCTAAAGCATAGGGAATGACTTTCATTTTCTCTATATCTTCTCAAGTGGTCGGGCATTGAGTCTGACTCAACTTCACACCTTATAACACAGGCAAGAACCCTTTCTTTGACTGATCCATTTTGAACTTCTTCAAAACTTTATCAAGGTATCTGCTTTATGAAAGTCCAATTAAGCGTCTTGATCTATCTCTATAGATCTTGATGCCCAATATGTAAGCAGCTTCACTGTTGGGAATATTACTATTGAGTATAAACCGCCCAGGAGGGGCCGGTTTATGCTCATCCGTATTGAAGCCTATGAAGACAAGGAGTATGGCACTTTACTATAGAAGCTTGGAGGCCAAAGCCCAAGGGCAGTTCAGGGCCCATAGACATAAACCGCCATGAGATATGTAAGTTGTGTTGTAAGTTAGGGAAAGGTAGAAACCGAGTTGTACACGTGTATGAGCTGGCCTCGGTGTTCTGTAAACCGCCAAACGTCAACCTGTGTATATAAAGGGGCAACCCGGCGGCGGTTCAGAAACAAGAAACAACAACTCGAGAGATAGGTAAAGCGGATTCGCTCCCTGCTCATCGAGACCCCATCAATTCCACCACAACTGGATCGTAGGCTTTCACCTTCAT